CCCCGGCCCCGAGGGGCCGCGGAGGGCCTCCCCGAGCCGAGGGCCAGGCTGCCGCCGCCGCCTCACATCGCGCGGCGGCCGGCCCGAGGGCCGAGGGGGCCGGGCCGAACAGCACCGCCCGCCCGCGCCGACGCCGAGCCCACCGACGAGGCCCAGCTCCGACGGCAGCGCAGGCGGCCTCCTCTCGCGCCGCGATCTCCTCCTTCGCCCTCCTCTCCCGCAGAAAATAAATACGGCCGCCGCTAAGGCCCCCACCCCCGGCGGCCAGGTGCCGGCAGCGCCCGCCCCCCGGGGCTCTGCTCGGGGCCGCCCTCGGCGGCGGGTGAAAGCGTCGCGGGGCGCGGGGTTATGTAATGGTCCCCCCCAGGCGTCGACGCCGGCTCGGCTGCCGGGCCGCGGTGGGGGTGTGTGCGGGCAGGAGGGGGCTAGGGGTCGCCTTAGCCCGTGCGCCCCGGGCCCCCTGCCACTGTCTCGGCTCTGCCGCCTCTCTCCGGCCCGGCTCCCTTCCGCACTCTCCCGCTCCCGCAGTTCGCACTCAGCCCGGCGTCCCGCTCGCCCACTCGCGCCCGCTCCCTCTCGCCCTCTCTCCCCCCCAGCCTAGCACACAAACAAGATGGCGGCTGTTGTTTCTTCCCTCTGCCGAATCCTCCTTACAGGCTAGCGGTAGCAGCGGCGGCCGGAAATGAGCCAAGGGAGGTGAAAAGGGGCGGGGCGGAGCCTCCGGAGGGAGGGGCGAGGGCGGGGCCTAGGCCCAGGCCGCTCACACAATGGGGGAAGAAGAGCTGGGGGCGGGGCCGGGTCCAATCACGGGAGCCGCCCAGGGCCCCAACGCGTTTGGCGCTTCCGCAAACTCCCCCGGCGTCCCCCGGTGGCTCTCTTTAAAGGGGAGGATTTTAAGCGGGGGTCGGGGGCGGATTCGGAATCTATTTTCAGTCGGTGGACAGTTTCGGGGAAGGTGCCTGGGTTGGGTCTTCGCGTAGCGGACGGATGAGAACCAGGTTGACGGAACCGGGGGCTGCATCTGGGAAGGCTCCAAGTCACGGCGCTGGTGGCCGGATAGGAGCGTCGGTGGGGACGGCCTCGTGTCCCGGGTCCTTGAGCGGCACCGATTCAACCCTGGTTGAATTCAACCCGAACCCTGGTTGAATCCACCTGGCAGGGGGTACGCACCGCCCTGTATTCTGGCCCGGAGACCCAGTGCGTCCTCAACTCTTACCCCCTCGCCTTCCTACAGGGAGCGGTTCACGTCCCCAAATCACACTGATCACGAGTTGTTTCCATTTTCTCTGAATTATCCGATTTTTTTTTTTTTTTGGACAACGAGCGTGTATTACTTTGATAACCAGAAAACAAAAATCACAGTAGTGGAAGGGTGTCTTAGGACCAGACCCAAGTTCGTTTCTTGCCCACCATGTGTCCACACGCCCCTACCAGATCGCACTGTCACCACAAGAGCCTTGAACTATTCTTATGAACACGCCTGGAACGTGAAGACATTTTAAGGTGTTTCTTTCCATCCATCCCAAATAGACCGGCTTAATAAAAGATCACATTTAGGCAGTGCCTTGAAGGTAATGTAATTAAGAACAAGGCAAAAGTTTAACCATTGGGGGAAGTGCTCGAATGTAAAGTTTGATGTGTGGAACAATACAGTTTTGTAAGTCAAGGCTGGGAACACACTTTCACATTCCTACACGTTAAAGGACTCCCATGTGTTTGGCCTTGGGTGAACTGGAACTGGAGGAGGTGGCAAGGTTGTAAGTAACTCCCAAGGACATCTCGAAACCAGTATCTATCAAGAGGGTTAAAAGCTTTTTCCTATATTTCATACCTCACGCTCCTTAGTTGGTGTTTGCATATTGTTGGGCTTACTTTGGGTTTTGTTATTTTTTGTTTTCTAAATGAGTGACGGGGAGAATTAATAACTTAAGAGCCTAGGATTGAAGATCCTGATGAAGCAATACAAATTACCAACAATGATGAATTTTGTCATGCGATGTTCAGTCCAAGTTCACCCAAACTGTAGTAGAAAAGCAGGCAAATTGAAAAGGACAGTACTTCTTTATCTTGAAGTTGTTACAGGATGGATTCAACTTGTAGGGATAAAGTCAAGATTGGCCTTCAGGGAGGATTCAGTTTTTGTTTTTTTTTTAATAGTTTATACCCATATTTATAGTGAGGAGGACAAAGGAAAGAAATGTGGATGACACCTGGAAACTTGGCCTGTAACTTCCTTGAGGAAGCTTGCTTGCCCAGTCTTTTTAAGAGGTTCTGACTTTAAGGGGCCGGTGAGTGTGGTGCTGACAACACCAAGCCAAGGGTTAAGATCCCCTTACCAGTCATCTTTAAAAAAAAAAAAGTTTCTGACTTTAGGAAAAAGATTTGCTTAGTTTTGCAGAGGATTCAGCTTGAGTCTAAGCAGTATTTAAACATACCATGCCTACCTGGCCAAAAATACTGTGGGACTGGGTATAAGAAGTGGATCAGAGGAGATCTGAGGAACATCCCATGAGAGAATTCTGTGAAGATGAGTCAGAGACCATGAACCTGCCCAGGAGAAAAGGCTATGCTGTCAATAGGGAACTCAGACGCTTGGTACTTTTTGCTGGGATTTGCTCTTCTGGCTCTTTACCCAGGACCCTGGCCTGAAGTCAGCCAGGTTGGAAGTGGCTGGGGAAATAGGGATCACACAAATGCAATCAAGGTGAGACTGACAGTGGTTTAAAAAAAAACACAGGAATGGGCCGGCCCGTGGCTCACTCGGGAGAGTGTGGTGCTGATAACACCAAGGCCGCGGGTTCGGATCCCATGTAGGGATGGCCGGTTGGCTCACTGGCTGAGACTGGTGCTGACAACACCAAGTCAAGGGTTAAGATCCCCTTACCGGTCATCTTTAAAAAAAAAAAAAAAAAAAAAAAAAACACAGGATTTTGAATCACCAACCTGGT